TTTGGTTAAATTTGGTTCTTTCGATAAAAACTTCACTTTTTTTCATTCTGATGCTGTCGAATTCTTCGTGTTTTTGTATGCCTATTAAATGTATTTGGCCCGCATGTGAATCTGTCAAAAAATTGTGAAATTGTGCATATCGGAGCAGTTTGGATACCATGATTCCTTTATAGGCAACGTTGTCTGTATTGGCTATCTGAAAATCCGCTTCTTTCTGGCGCATTTGTCTTTCACCGAAAAAATTTTTGGCGATCTCTTTTTAGCGATCAGTTGAGTGGGGAACAAGTATTTTTACTTCCTTCAACAATTTATGAAAAAATTTTTGAGCAGTAGTACTCCAAAGAGGAATAATTATAAAAATGGGTTAATTAACATTCTCAAAAATTCTTCAAGAAAACCAAAAAACGCTAAAATTATTTTATATCAAATTCTTTTGTTATTATTTTTTCCAAGAAAAGGATGTTTGGCAGGAAATGCCCTCTTCACATTATCGCACGTCGTTTTGCCTTTTTTCAGAATGAGTTGAAAATAGTCACTGCCTCCCTTCTTTCCTCCTGTGCTCCTTCCTTTGTACGGTTGGAATTCCCCTGTGCTGCTTCTTTCCCAAGAAACTAAAAGTGGAACCTCCTGTTTTTCATGCGATTATTAGAAAATGGAACGCGATCAAGGACGGAGGAGAAGGAACGGGTTTCTTGATCATCCGATTATCACTTCTTAGCGAAGGGAACAGTGTCGCCGTCGTCTGGACGGGCAGAACAGCCATACAGCTGTGCAACGTTGCTTCTGCTCGATCAGTGATGCTTTTCGAAAACGAAATTTTGAATGGCTGTTGTTGAAAGTGATGAGCCAGGTTTGTGCTCCGTCGTTTTGGTAGGATGACGTACCGGGAAACCGAATTGAGCCGCCGACCGGAGAAAACAGTTATGTCAAGAATAAACTCTTACCAGTTCTCTTTGTTAGTGATATCCAAGGTGCAAAGATCTTTGAGAGGCTCTCTGTGGTACTCACTCGCATTAAAAAGTTCATCAGGGTCTTCATTCATGTGGCGTTTTCGTGATTCAAAAAAAAAGTCCGGTTTGGTTTTGGTCGTAGGGTTTTTACATTACCTTAAAAAATGACGGGTTTTACCATAAAAAGTGTGCGAATTCCAAAGAATTTGTTGACACAAACATAGCGAAACGTCCCTGCAGGCGACGTAAATGAAAAATCTTTCACGTATGAATCGTACTTTCCAATCTGCTATTTAACATGCACCAAGGACATTTCGAAACTACTAAAACCTAGCCAAGTTCTACCACAGAAAATTCCTTGTACACATTATGCAAATGTTCTCGTGTAGTCCTACTGCATATTTACGAAATTTGTGCATTATAAGAGTCATCCTTTCGGCTCCCGTGTTATAAAGAATGTAGTTATCTTTGAACTGGTAATTCCTTCGAGAAATGAAACGAACATTAGGATCGTCAACAGGTTGGATCGTCAACAGGTTAGCCATAGCAACTGAAAAGTTGTCAGCCACTCTGCTGAAAAGTATAGAAAGTCTCAGGTATGAGTTTTAATCGTTTTTTATGACTGCCAAAAACAAAGGTTCTTTGAAAGATGTAGTACCACATTTTGCCCTACCAAGCTTCGGACAACGCTGATCATTGCCGCTTTGCTTATATACATGAAAAGTGAGAGGTTCTTGAAGACAATCCACAACTGTGTCAAGCTTTGGCTAATTTTGTGATTTGGGTGCACTTTAACAATGGCGCGGGAGGATTCGAGGGGGTATGCACGATGGCGACAGCTTGATGCTTTAGCATTTCACTTCGACGTTTCGGGGTACGGGGTCTGAGAGCAGGAAGTAAAAAAATTTGATAACTCACTTTATCAACATCGCCATCGAAACCTGTTTCCCCGATTGCATTATGGAATGTTTCGGGGGCAGTGGCACTGCTTGCGGTCGCCCAGTGTGCTTTTTGATTTGTACGCCTTGTTTGCACTTATGTCACTGGCGAATAGTTTTATCAATTCATCATTGATTAGCACTTTTTCCATAAAAAAAAAAATATTTACAAATTACTAAAAAATAATATAGTCTCTTTGGGATGCGGAAACATTCGGACATAGCGCGAGTGGTAGTATATGCTATTAACAAGCAGCTGGTGATAACGCTAAGAATGTTTCTTAGAAGCAAGCTGACTTCCTGATACAAGTTACTAAAAAGTAAGACAATTTCTTTGGGATTTGGGAACATTCGGAAACAACGCGAGTAGTAAAATATGCTGGTGACAACGCTAAGAATGTTTATTAGTAGCAAGCTGACCTCTTAATATATGCTAATGCAGTGATCAGTAGCACAGCTCTCGTGCTTGATGGTCAACAGTTCGATTCTGCCAGTGATTTGTTCATTCATTCTGCCCTTCTGCGATTCGTTCATTCGTTTCGATGGTAAATTGATACTGGTCCATGCCTAGCTGATTGAAATCATCGCTAACCTGCTTATAAATAATCCCAAAAGAGTTTAAATAGTAATACGCTGTGACAGCATATTCTCATCGAGTAGTAGTACGATGAGAATATGCTGTCACAGCATTGAACAGGAGTTTGCTATTAGCACATACTACCGCTTGGACTACTTCCGAGTGCCTCCATTTACTGGTCAGAGTGAATGCAGAGATCTTAAAGACAAAATCTTTGACAAGCGTATGTATTTATCATCGAAACAAATGAACGAATCGGAGAGAGATTTTTTGGCCGTAGTAGTTGAGGAATGGAATTTTCGTCCTTCAGCACAGTAGTGGCACAGCCACTGCATTATTTCGGCAACATTCACAAATTGTCATTCTTCATTTATTTTATTTTTATTTACTTGTAATTTTACTAATTTTAATGGCAATTTTTAATTTTTTTTTTTCTTATCGATCCCATGCCACATAGGCAAGCGCGTCCAATTATGTCACAAGCAGCCT